ATCAAATGGTTTTGGGGGACCCCCGGCGGGTATCCGGGGTGGGGTCCCCTTCTCTGGCTGCTGGGGGGAGCGGGGGACTCTCGGGGGCTCTCGGGGTCGGACGGTGCCCCCAGCGCTCCCCGTGCGGGTGCAGGGGAGGCACCGGCCCCGGGGGCTCCTAAATCCGCCCGGTTTAAAACACCAGATTTCATGGATAGGGCTAAACCCCACCCCGCGCGTGCGACAAAAAGCCCGAGCTCCGAGGGGAAGCGATTGTTTCCCTTTTCCTCGGGATGAGCAAAAGGAGAACTCATCCCTTCCTTTCCACCGCCAAATATCGCACCCCAAACCCCAGCCTGGGATCTGGGTGTTGCACCCCTTTTTTCCACCCGTCCTTTGCCGTGCCCCCCTTCCCTGCACGGTCCTGCCTTTCAAGTGGGGAGCTTCTGCTGTGTGCCGAGAAGTTAAGCGGGGACTAAAAATAGTTTGGAGCAGAGCTGGGCTCTTTGCTGGCACAAACCCTGGGTGGGAGAGGAGCAAAGCGGGGACTTCAGCCCAGGCACCCACAAAAGTTGAGACTGACCCGGACTGGTGGGTGAGGCTTTTCCCTGGACCAGCGGATGTTTTCTTCACACCTCCAGCCATCTAAGGGTGACAATCTGACAGCTGAGAATCTGGATATTATAAAAAAGCAGCATTTTGGTTGCATGATAATAAATATTAAATGGGGAACGGGTGACATATGGTCCCTGGGGTCCTGCTGCAACAGTATATTTAATTATTCCTTGGGTATAACCCTTGGGAGGGTTCTTGCCATGCACGAGGGCATCCCTCTTCCAAGGGACGTGTTTGTGGGGTTCTCTAGATCCCACCCGTGACAAAAGCTCAGGTCTGGGGCTGAGCCTGTTCTTCGGCTGGGGTTCAGCCCACAGGTGTGGGGAAGCTGAGGCACAGAAAGGTGAGAGACCCACTGAAAGACTTCCGACTGCAGAAGGAGGGTTGGGGACATGGGTGCCCCTTCCTGTGACACCTCTGAGACGGCCTGGCAGGACTTATAGGTCACAAAGCCTATAAAAATATAATTTATTTTAGCATCACCAGGAAAAGGAAAGGGCTCCAAGGGTGAGCGTGAGGGAGATGAGTCATGGTTTCCCGTGCCTGGGCAGCTGAGTGATGCCCCGTCACCCTCTCCCGCCGTGGCTCCCTCCCTTCCCGGCTGCCTGGGGTTTGGCACCAGGTTGACTCTGGGCTCGTCTGCTTGGGAAAAGGCGAGAGTCAGGGATTTGGTTTAAGAAAACAAGCTGCATAATTTGTTTTCCCCAAAGGAGCCCTGTGCTCGGGACAGAAGGAGAGGGGAAGCCTCCCCAGAGCTCTTAGGGCAGAGTTTCCCCCTCAGTTCCCCCTCCTCTGTGTGCCTCAGTTTCTCCACCCCACCATATGCCTCAGTTTCTTCCCTCTCATGTGCCTCAATTCCACCCCTCCGTGCCTCAGTTTCCCCCATGGGCACTGAGCTGAGTAGAGCTTTGGAGCTGCTGTTTCCTCCAGTAAAAGGGAGTTAAAGGAGGAAGGCACCAACACCCAAAGTCATTCCTGCTGCAGCCTGAGAGACAATTTATTGCGAATACAACTACTGCACTAAAAACCATCAGCACTAAGGGCTCCAGGTGGGACAGTGGGGCTCTAGGATGTGCTGGGACAGGGATGGGACACAGAAACAGCAGCGCTGGCTGTGATATATGGGGCTCATTTATGCTCTGAGGGAGGAACGTGGATCACGAGGGGCCTGGTGAGTTCTTGGCATGGCTGGGGAGGGATGCTCGGGAAGCAAACCACAGTAGCCAGCGGTTCTGGGCAGCTTGCCCTCGCCTCTCCCCACAGCCAGCTCTTAGATGCTCTGATTTTATTCCTCATTTTCTGGGGCAACCTCATGCCGGAGACTTTCCTGTGGTGAGCAGGGATGAACCTCACACCCCTTGAGCCGTTGGTGGAGCCAGAAATCTGCAAACATCTTTTGTTTGTTTTTTGAGCCGTTTTGGACACCAGGAGCTAGTTGTCTCCTCTTGGAGGACAGGGATGTAACAGCCCAATGCTGCAGGAAAAAAATGGGAAAGAAAGAAACAAAAGGGGAGGAGAAGCAGCAAGGAAGGGAAGAGGCTCACGTGGCTCCTCTGGGCACCAGCCAGGGCCTCCGGCACAAGTGCTGCCTCCGGGTCTGTCATGTCCCTGGTGCGGGGGATGCACCGGTCCCTTGGCCGGTGCCAGGCTGGAGGCAAAACCCCTCCTGCATTTTGTGATGGGGTGGGTGCTCTGACTGCTATGTGGCAGCTGGAGGGGACGTCTGGCATGGGATCCTGATGCCCTGGGGAATGCTGGTCTCATGACCTCTCTTGCTCTCTGCTCCTGCTTCCCGGGATCATCTGAGAATTTTCTTCTATTTTTCCCCAGGTCAGGGCACTTGTGGTGAGGGAGAAGACTCCCCATAAGAAGGTCACCCGGGGCCGTGCTTGCTTCTGCTTTCTTAGCCGACCTTTGCTCATGCCAAGGATGCCCTGCTGCCCGCTGCTTGCCCTGGGAGTGCTGGCACTCAGCCTGGCAGGTGAGTGGGGCTGGGGGGGCTTTGGGGCTGGCGTGGTCTGTGTGTCACCACTCCGAAGGAGATACCCTGCATGCCACGTTCATCCCAACAAAGCTGCCATTGACCTGTGGTTCCTGGTGGCAGCGCCCACAAAATGGTTCTCCTGGTTTTGTGGGCCTCCAGCTGCCCAGGGCATCACCCCATGGGTGTGATGGCTTCTGGTGCACTCAGGCCACCCTCATAGCAGGGGACACCACCTCCCGTGTGCTATAGTTGAATGGCAAAGCCCTGGGAGGACTAAATCTTGAAGCTTTCTGACTTACCTGGGTGTGTTCCCATGCACTGCACCTCCTGGCCTTCTGGCATTGCAACACCCCAACCTGGGAGAGATGTTGGCACTGAATCCTTTCGGGATGCTCAGCAGCCAGCAGTGGTTCCAGCCAGGCTGGGTAATGCTCCTAAAACCTGCTGGTGTTTATTTATTATTAGCCAGAGGGAGATGTGATGCTTTCGAGTCTGCCTAGAGCCAGGCAGGCAGTACTGAGCTCTCTTCTCCTGCCTGTCTGCCCATCTGCAGCCCCTGGCAGGTCTCCTCCAGCCCGGCTCCTTCCCGCAGCTCTTCATCCTCCCCGCTTGGGCTCTTGCTTGAAATTTAATGTCTCATTGCTGCCCTCGTCCCCAGGGAGGTATTTGCTGTGGTTAATGGCTTTGCTGTGTTCTGCAACAGTTTTGACATCAGAATACAAAGTAAACCCTTGGTCCAAGGCTAGGATTTTCCCCTTTTCCTCCCTGTTTAGGGGTTGGGAAGAATTGGTGAATGAAGCACTGGTGGTGCCCTGGGTCTGTTTTGGGGGACATTGCTGCTTGCTGCCAACGGGCACCCCAGGAGGAGGATCGGGTAGCCCTAGTGTGGTTGGTGTTGCTCCCTGACACGATGGCAGGGTAGACATCCCGCTGTGGCTCGGCGGTGCGGTTGGCACGGTGCCATGGCACTGGGTCGAGGTTGGCAGCTTGCTGTGGCATGCCGGTTGGCATCACACTGGAGCACTGGTGCCATCTAGCGCCCTCCAGCCCAGCCACGGCGCTGCCCAGAGCTGGCTCATCCTGGGTACACGGGACTGGGTCCCTGCTGCCGTCACCCGCTGACCTCCTCTCCCTGCGGGGAGAAACCAGACTGCGTGTCCTGGGTGGGTTTGGGTGCAGGTTTGGGTGCCTGTGGCAGCAGATGGCAGCTGAGGGCAGCGATGCCCCAGGTTCTGTGCTGGGTGTGGGACTGTCTCCCTGCTGGCAGGGTGGGCTTGGCTGGGGGTTGGTGCTGGCGAGGGTTCCAAGGTGCCATCTGCCCACGGGTCCCTCCCATGGACATCTCTCGATTTGCATAGATGTTATCCAGATGGAGAATTAAGGAGGTGCTTCTGCAGGCTCTTGCCACCATGTGCTTTTACCCTCACCACCCTCCTGCAGGTGCCATGGAGATCCAGGTCCCGGATGAGCCCGTGGTGGCTCTCTTTGGCCGAGATGCCACCCTGCGCTGCTCCTTCTCCCCAGAGGCCAACTTCAGCCTCGATGACCTGAGCCTCATCTGGCAGCTGACGGACACCAAGCGCTTGGTCCACAGCTTCTCTGGTGGTCAGGACCAACTGGCAGACCAGGGCGGGGGCTATGCCAACCGTACAGCCCTCTTCTACGACCAGCTGGCCCAGGGCAACGTCTCGCTGCTCCTCCGGCGCGTGGAGATCTCGGATGAGGGCAGCTTCACCTGCTTTGTCCGGGTCCAGGACTACAGCAGCGCGGCCGTAACGTTGCAGGTGGCAGGTGAGAGATGAAGAGTTTGGGTGCCCTGGCATGTATCCCCCAAAGAAAAGGGTTCTCCATCATGCTTTGGTCCTTCATGGAGTGTCTTTCTTTCTCCACCCTTGCCATGGTCTCCCCAATAATTCAGCTCTCTGTTAGAGACTGACCAGCTGCATCTCCCCAGAATACTGCTTGTGGGGTGTGTGGTCCCTTCCCTGCCACGATGGAGAGGGTCTCAGTTGAGAGGCCACATGGAAGCCTGGCATAAATGAGCCAAAGCTGGAGAGGCTTCAGCTGGTTGGTCTGATCAGCTGGAAGAGTCGGTCCTGGGGCTTGCCCAGCCTCGTTGGGTTTCTCCTGATCCTTTGGTCTTCTCCATTGCCTCATGCCGGCTGTCCTCTCCCTTGCAGCTCCGTACTCCAAGCCCAATATGAACCTGGAACCCAACAAGGACTTGAAGCCGGGAGATCTGGCGGCTGTGACTTGCCACGCTTCCCGCGGCTACCCTGAGGCCAGTGTCCTCTGGCAGGACAGTCAGGGCAGCAACATCACTGAAAATATCACCACATCCCAGGTGGCCAACGAGGAAGGTCTCTTTGATGTGCACAGTGTCCTCCAGGTGCTGGTAGAGCCCAGCAGTACCTACTCCTGCCTGGTGCGAAACCCGGTGCTGCAGCAGGAGACTCACGCCTCCGTCACCATCACGGGTGAGCCAGCGAGGGCCAAAACTGGGGCAAGGAAGGGATGGGTAGTCTGTGTAGCAGGATGCTCTGCCTAAGTTGGGGGGAAATAAGATCATTGTCTCAAACTTTGCCCCACTTGTATGGGCCTTCTGATGGAAAACTACCAGACATGAGGGGTCACGCTTACCTTAGCATTGAAGATTAGCCTCAATTATAACCTCAAGAATAAATGTTATGGGGTAAGATGTGACACCAGGTGGTTCCTAGAAAGAGGAAGAGGGGAAAAAAAAATACACAGACAGTGTTTTGCTGAGCTAGAAGATTTGGCTTGGCAACAAGTGACTGTCAGTCAGTCGCTTTATACTATAAAAGCCTAGTCCTGCTTTTGAACAGGAGGGATTCTAACACACCCTTTCCCTGTGGAGTGTGTTTGGATATTCCTCCCTTGAGCGGGGACACCCCTCAAGGTTACCCCTTGAGGCTGAGTGAAAGAGCTTCCCACAGGCATCAACATGGGTGAGTAACATCAATCTCTATAAAATAATTACTTACCAAGCTAGCTTTGAACTATTGATTTAGGGAATGATAATTATAATAAATAATAGCTATAGCTTTTATACTGTGTAGTAGATGTTCTGGTTAATGTCCTTTGGTCTAATCACACCATTATGGTCTCGTCACACCACATCAATTATGATTAAGTTTTTATTTTGCTTGCATAAGTAAGTTTAGTTTGCTATTTTTAACCCCACGGGACTGTCTGAAGATGGTTACTGTGGTGGCATCGGGATCCATGGCACAGAGCCCCCGTGGGGGTTGCTAGCCTGTATCTCCGTGCTACCTCTCTCCCTAGGGATCTACACGGGTGACTTGAGGCTGTTCTGTCCTCCCTTGTCACCTCATGTCAGTTTCCCAGCTGGAACCAGCACCCTTAGTTCTTAGTCTCTAGCTTTGCTAGTTGCCCCATTCCAGTCTAAACCACCCCGGAAAGCTGGCATAGCTTGTGGTAGTTGTCTTCTCCTTATCATGTGGCCATGGGATGCTCACAATTTGGGGTTCTCCATCCCAGCTGCAACAATCCTTCTTCAGAAATACAGGCTGAAGGAGTTCATCAGGTACCTTCAGCCTCACTGCTCCACTCCAAGCTCCTCTCACTGACCTCCTGGAGCTCTTTATAACCTCTTGAGTGGAGCATAAACTTTTTGTTTGGATGCGTCCAACTCTTGCAGGAAGACTCATGTGGATGTTGGTCGGGGACAGAGTGGTGGCTTTTACTTGGGCTCCCAAGCACACTAGCAAATGTGGTCAGCCTTGGGGTGATGTCAGTGCAGGGGCAGGGTTTGGAGTAAGACTTTATTTGAAGAAGGAGCAATATTAGGAAAAATCAGCTTCCCAGCACTTAGGGACCCCACGCCCTGGTGGTCCCTGACAGGCCATCCCAGGCACTGGGGAAGGTGTCCCCATCCTTCCTGACCTCGCGGCATGAGATGAGAGCGGAAAGGGAGTAGGTAGAAGGTCATCTAATGCTGGTTTTGAGCTTCTAAGTAAGTGAAGGGTCAGCCTGCCATTAGATTTTATTAGTGCAATTATTTAAATGGTTAACAAAGTATTTTAGGGAGTGACTTGACTTGCTGCTTCCCTGACTGGATCCAGATCTGCTGGGGGAGGCCATAATTAGAGGCACTGATGAGTTTTCACTTTCAAAGCCACCCCTGGTGCCACTGACTCACTCCATGGGGACGTGCCCCTGCCACCGTGGGGTCCTGGATGCTGGGCACGTGTCCTCCTGGTCAGGCAGTGGTGCTCACTGTGGTGGTATTTGTCTTTCCCTCAAGGCCAACACCTCGCCTTCCCCGCTGTGGCACTCTGGCTGACGGTGGGACTTGCCATCTGTGTTGTGGGGCTGCTTGCCGTCCTGCTGTACGTGTGCCAGAAGAAAATCCGCCAGAGCAAGGAGGAAGAGGAGGAAAATGCAGGTAATGTTGTGGGTACCTTCCACTAAAAGGGATGGGGTTTGCCAGGGGTGACAGATGGAGAGTGATGGATGGGGGGAGATGGCGCAAATTTTAACCGCCACGGGTTTGCCTTGGTGGTGGCACCTTTTAAAGGCTGAAGGGATGCTTGGAGCTGCTAAGGTTGGCAGGCACCAGTAGATCTGTACCGGAGAGCCTGTGCTGGCTGCATGCATCGCTCCAAGAGGCTCTTTCAAACATACACCTGGTTACTCTGCCAGCCATCACGTCTCTGCCTTTCACCTTGTTGCTGCGGTCATCCTCTGCATGTCTGGTACCCACAACCGAGTGTGTGTGGCACATCTCCTCCGAGAAGGTGCCTCTAGCACTTGCCACTGTGGAAATGCCAAACTCTTTGACCAGCAGAAATAGCATGAGAGGTGCTCCATGCTCTTGTTTTCTGCATCCTCCTTCTGTCCAATGTGTGGGGTTTTTTCACTGTGAAGACGTGTTTGCACAAAAAGGAGGGGCTTTGTTGCTTTAAAAAAGCTGCCGTGCTCCGAAACTGACTGCAGAGTGGCGTTCCCTGGTTGTTTTCTCTCGCTGACTCCTGAGGCACTTGCTCTGCCAAAGCCTTTCCCTGACAGCTTGTGCTGTGGGGCTGGGACCCACAGCCTCCCTCCCCAGGGGCTCTCTCTGCCGGGAGGGTGTCGGTGCTGATGCCACCAGCATGTTGCCTGGCTGTTGAGTGTCCCCAGTGGTGGGGACTGAGAGGGTTTTCCCTGGCAGATCCCAGGGAATCGTCTGCAGGATATATTAAAAAAAAAAAAACCACAACATATTTTTTCCCTCTGTGACAGAGTATTTTCTCCTTAGTCAGGGGATTTGCAGTGCTGTGATGCTCAACCATAGCCCTAGGCAAGCTGACATCAGTCCTTTAGCATCAACACACAGTTCCCAGCCCGATGGCTTCACACCCTTAGAAATAACCTTTTACTGTGACTCTTAGTAGCCGGCAACAAGGCAGAGACCCTGCCCATGAGCCTGGCAGCCATGGGAGACAGGAACAGCAATTTTTTCTGGTCTTTCTGGCCAGGAACAGCATCATAGCAGATCTTACCCGTGGGGTGAAAAGCTCCTGGGCTCCATGGCAGGGTGGCAGCATGGTGGGTGCTGCAGGAGGGAGAAGGGGACGTTGATCCCTCGGTGCTGATGGGGTGTCCTGGAGATGCTGGGGGATCCGTGGTCTCCCCACTAAGCCCCTCACTGAGTGCCGCTCCAGATGGTGGCTCTGCTATAAACAGGGAGGCGAGTGGCTGTGCTGCATCGCCCAGAGCTGTTGCTTTTTCTGCTTTGCTTTGTAGGGGATGTGCCACCCCGGCACAGCCTTGTGCTGGGGGAAATACCCACCGCGGGCTGCTGGAGGGGGGTGCTGGGTGCAGGTGGGTACCAGTCATCTCCTCCCCAAGAATTGCCAGTAGCTTGGCAGCGCCTGGTCCTGAGCAGACCCCGGGATATGTGGTGATCGTGGGTGGCTCCAAGCAGCCGGAAACAGCGGCGAGCCGAGAAGCATCCACCAAACTGTGGGGTTCAGGGTGGATGCTGGGGTGAAGCCTGGCAGATGCTTCACAATGCTCTGGCTTGCTTTTTTGCAGGGACGGAGGAGCAGGATGAGGAGGGGGAAGAACCCAAGACAGGTGGGTGTGTGGTTCTTGTTTATTGTATATGTGAGTGCATTCTAAGTGTGCTCATGCCACTGTCCCCTACGTAAGCAAACACCTTGGCGTCCTTTGCACCCTCCATCAGTGCTCAGCCCTCCCCATGCTTACCCGCTCTTGCTGCACCCTCTCAGGCTGGCAGCTTTCTGATAAGCCACCCTATCTCTTAATAAAAAAGCACTTGTGATGCTCTGCTGTCATCAAACGGGTTAATTATATGCCCAGTGATTGCCTTTATCTGCTGGCGCAGGAGCAAACCTGCTTGGAATGCCAACTCCTTCACTGCCAGGGAGATATAGGGACCAGGGGTTGGTTTGTGATGGAAACTGGTGGGTGCAGTTGTTGGGGTTGGTTCCCCAAAATGGGGCTCCTCTGGGGACACATTCCCTTGCAAGCCTCTGTCCTGCGCGGTGGGGACTGACCATGTGCTGTTTTGCTTTTCACAGCTCTGCAGCCGCTGAAGAGTGCAGAGAGCAAAGACGGTGAGTGCGTTTGCCAGGCAGCAGCGCAGGACCATGACCTGGCTCGTGGTCAAGGTTTCTTCCTAAGCACACTGGAGATGATGCTCAGATCTAAGTTTAAAGCATCTATTGCATCTCCAACATCCATCATTGGGGTTCTGTAGGGTTCCCCGACCCCACCCCCCCATTTTTTTCAGTTTTTCTCATTTATTTCCCCATAGTTTTCAATCACATTTTCCCAGATCAATTATTTCCCAGCACCCGTTTGCACTCCAGTTTTGGCTGTGCTTGCTCTGGCTGCTGCTCCTGTCTCCCAGTAGCAATGGAGCAATGAGACTGACAGCTCTGATGTGGCCATTCTTCTCTTATCCTTCCTTTTCTTGGGCAGCTCAGGGCTGAGAAAAGCCTTGTGCCACTAACCTGGGTCATTGCAAGGAACTTGGGAGTTTTGAGTGTTGCCATCAGTTTTCTAACAGGAGGGGAGTTGCTGGGGTCTGTCCTTGCCTTGCGGAGAGCGTGAGCTTCATCCCTCCCCATGCAAAATTCCCCACTAGCAGCCCAATACCAAATTTATGGTGGAAATTCATAAGAATTAAGAGTCCTAGCTCCTGTTTCTGCCTTTCAGTAACTGCTCCCAGCCTCCTGGCTTCATGCTGCCACAGCCCATCACCCATCCCAGCCCAGTGATGGGCTCCAGCACTTTCCATGCTTGGTCAGCCTTGTTCCTCCCCGACTCATCTTTCTCCCAAGATCTCAATCTTTTAATTTATTTCCTTTCTTATTAAAGGCGGAGACTTGGCCTCTTCTGCTGGTGAATTGCTGCTAATTTAACCCTTCCATCTTTTATTTACAGCCCTGTTGTTTCACTAGTGCCATTTCCCCCCCCATCCTGATAGGTTTTTAAAAGACTTTTCTTCCTTCCCCTTCACACGTTTAGCGAAGCATCAGCTGACTGCTTTTCTCTTTTTTTTTTTTTTTTTTTTTTTTCATGCCCTTATCTCCCCCTCACAAGCCTCCACAGCCTGTGCTTTGCTTCCCAGCCCCTTTGCTTTTCATTCCTGATGCAGCCTGTTTGCTTAACCCCATGTGCGAGACATCCCCCACTTGCTCATCGACCACTTTTTCAGCAGAAACAAAACTTGAATAATAACATCTCCCAGGGTTTTCTGGCTGCAGGGGGTTTTCTAGCCAGAAGGATAGATGGAGGGATAAAAACACACCTACATGTGGCTAGTTGTATTTGCCTGAGGGTGGCATCAGCCCTGGGAGTGGGGATCCCAGTTTTCCAGGGCAAGGATGGCCCAGAACTGCCAGCAACCAAATTAACTGGACCATTAATTTGGACCCGTGAATTATTACTCTTTTTTTAATGTCTTCACCAATTTTTATTTAGTCTTTTTTTCTTTTTCTCCCCAGATAATGAACAAGAAATTGATTGACGGGACACCCCCAAACAGCACCCTGTGCCCTGGACCAGCTGAGATGTCCCCAGTGGGGATGAACTCTGGGTCCCCTGGGGAGGGCACAGACCTGCTGCCACCCCTTGTCCCTGGCCACGTCACCCTCCTTCCCCAGGCACGTCTTTGGGGCGCCCTGGGGCTGGAGAGAGGCTGAGTCTCTTTATCCCCGGCGAGCCCCGAAGATGGGTGCATCCTTCCTGGGGACGGTGTGTGTGGGGTGGAGGCTCTTCCCTGGTCATCTGTCCATCCCCATGTGGGGCTGAGAGCAACCAGGGTCGACTGTTCCCACCAGCCCCCTCTGTGCCTGCTCCTGCATGGCTGCAGCCGAGCCCAGCCACCTTCCAGGTGTCTTCCAGGGCAAATTTCGGTGCCTTTTCCAAGCCTAGAGACCTTGAGAGGGGTGATGGGCTCAGTGAGGTCCTTGGGAGCAAGCAATGGAGCCCAGGAGGCTCGGGGAAGATGGATGGGACCTGTAGGACCCCCAGGCACAGGGGACAGAGCTTGGTGCTCTTGGCCCGGATGGTTGCACCTCTCTGGGGACATATGGGGACAATTATTTCTTCATGTTGCACCACTGTGGTTCCTGTTGGACTTTTATTTTTGCCTTAAATGCAAAATCCCATTGGGGCAGTTATCCCCTGCTTTGAATTAACCCGGGGGATTTTTTGAGGGAGGGGGGTCAAAAGGCAGGGCTTTGGGGGGACCTGCCGGCCAGGTGAAGCCCCCCTGTCCTCCTCATGGTGACGAAGCTGATGCTTTAGGGGCTAAAGCACTGGTGGGGGCATACCTGGCCAGCGTGTGGGGTTGAGCCCTCATGTTTCCCATGGGATCAGCGGTCTTTGCCCTGGTGTGTCTTCTGGGGGTCCTCCTTCCACTGCTGGGTACCTGCAGGGTGCGTGGGGGCATCCAGGCTCCTGGGGTGAACAGGGTGGTGTGTCCCTGGTCCCGCTCTGCTAGGTGGAGAAGTCCCCTCTGTGCTCCTCTATGGCTCTTCAGGTTTTCGTTGTTATTTAAAATCCAAAATCTGAAGGGGATTTTTGTGCTTTGACAAATAAATCTGGGGGTTGTTTTGGACAATGCTTTCAAGGCTTGGCGTGGTCTCCAGAATGCATCTTTGCTTGTAAATAGTTTAAATATTGAAATTCCCAGAGTGAAACCTTTGTGTTCCCCTTTCAGCCCAGTCCTGTTTGTCCCTTGGTCCCCTTGCCACTGTGGCACCTTGCACTCTGCCACCCTCATGCATCACCCAGCATGGGGAGAAAACTGCTCCAGTGATGGAGAGATGCCTGCCCTCGTCCTTCCTCTTTATTTTAGTACCTTAAACAGCAGAATGAAGAGCAAAATCCCAAAGGGACATTGTCATCCATCTGGGATAGCTCCAAAATTCAGGCTGGTTAATCCCATCAGTGGGATGCAAGCGGGGTCTGATGGGGGCTGGTGGGGAAGGGACCTTCCTAAGTCATCCACAGAGGGTTATTTTAACTTGTCCTTCCCCAGGCATGAAGCCAGGCTCTCCATTTCAGTAGAAAAATATGTCTAAAAGTGAGCAAAGGGAAAGCATGCTGGAATCAAACTCAGATTAGGGAGGGGATGGATGGTGATTTCATTTAGAGGGTTTGATCTACAGCCTGAATTAAGCACTGCTGCAATTTTTAATGAGGTGCCAGAAGGTACCATTAATATTATTTATCATCCAGATGCTGGGCTGGGGGAATGAAGCCATTAACCACCCCCAGCTCCTTGATGGGCAGCAGGATGAGTTGTCCACATGTCCAGAACATCTTTAAGGGTCCTGAGATGGTGCCAGCATCCCTGGGGATGTCTCCTCCAGCTGGGAGCTTTCTGGGGCATTTCTCTGGGCAGATTTGAGGGTGGTTTTTTTTTTTCAAAATGCAGCCTGGGCCATGCAGGGAAGGGAGATCCTGAGCGTGACAAGGGAGAAAATCGTAATTAAGCTATGTCAGCCCAGGGAAAACGTTGCTTAAGTTGGATCAGGCTGATGAGCTGTACTGAATTGTGAGCTGCTTCTTGGGGCTGAGCTGCTCACTGCTGTCCCGGGGTGGGTGCTTTAGCATGGGATAAAGCACCCCAGGAGGAGCTTAGTTGTCCCCTTGTCCCCAGGTGCCATTCTGCTTTTGGGTCTGTCCAGAGGATGGGTCTTTTTGGGGGAGGAAGTCTTTCATCTTAGTCTTCAAGATCTCCTTAATCCAACACACTGGTTTGTAGATGCTGTGGGTGAGACCCAGGCAGAGACAAGGCTGGTCAGCCATACACTGTGGTGTGGTTCTGCAGGGATTTTTCCATTCCCCAAAAGCCCCAATATCCTTCTCCACCTGGTCCTGGGTAACAGTGAACCTGGCAGCTGGGAAAGTGGGATTTAATAAGGACGCAGAGCGTGCAGGACCCGGCCCTGAGAGCTGGCAGCAGCTCAGCTGCTGGAGGTTGCTTGTGTTTTCTCTCATCCCTCCCGGGAGCAGGCGAGGCTGTGAGTTCATACAAACACCCTTGATGGGTAGAAAACAATATAAAAATCACATTTGTCAGGTTATTTCAGAAAGCGCCGGGGTGAGTCTCTCCCCAGTGCCGATCGATGGCGGCTTGATTCTTCCCATCAATAATAAATAAAGGGCTCCTGCTTCTTCTGTTGACCTAATTCTGGAGGGTGGGAAGGATAGAGACGCGGAGCTGTGTTGCTGCCTGCCCCTGAGGACTGCACGGGCTGGATGATGGGATGGGTGATGCCCTTGCAGTGCTGAGGTGGCATTGCTGCTTGTCCCTGTTGTCCCCTTGTCCTGCCCTGTTTCACGGATGGGGCTGTGTCCCTGCAGGCAGCGGGGATGCTCTGGAAACCCTGAGAGGTGGGTTGCCCAGCACCCTTGGGTGCCCCTGCCCTGTGGTGTGGGTCAGTGTTGTTTTCCAGAGATGAAGTATTTGCAAGAAGCACCATTTTCTACATGGGCATGTTTCCGTGGGTGATGTGTCCTTCATCAGGATGAGCAGGATCCGGCTCCTACACTGTCCCCGAATACTCAATTCTTGGCCTCCAAATTGCCAGGCCAGACCCAAATTCGGCTGGAAAGCTCAGAGCAACTTGACTGAGGAGCTTTCTGATACTAAGGCCCCTGGAAACATAATACATGACTTTCTGGGAAAGCAGAGCCCAGAAACAGCCCCAGGGCTGGATCTTCCTGTGGCTCAGCTGATGAAAGCAAGGAGCAAGGGCCTGAGGCCAGGGCTGTGAGCCTGAGGGGGAGCTTGTCTGAGGGAGAAGGAATTTTAAACATCTACCTCTTCTTGTAGCTTTTCCTGAGAAGCAACATCCAAAAAAGATTTAAATCTGTCTAAAAATCCAGAATTGCTTGTGAACAACCAGTTTTCATTTTATTTCCCTTTTGTTTCCTCCCAGTGCAATAACTGGGATGGAGAAACCACCCAGCTCCGTGACAGCTCTGCTCGGGGAATTTGCTTTCTATGGGCAAGTCAGAGCCCATGCAAAGTGCTGGCATGCGTAAAAGCTCCTTTTTGGCAAAAAAAGAATAGGCTGTGAAAAACTCTCCACTTGTACCATTGATCCTGGTGCCCAAATCGTTTTGATGGGCGATGAAGTGCGCCATGGTATTCCCAAGTGAACCACGTGGAGTCGGCACTTTCAGAGCCAGTTTCTCCCTCCCAGAACCCATTTTTCGGAGCCGAATCCCAAGCGGGTTATTCCCTGCAGCCACAATGCATCTGGTCCCGCTAAGTCAGAGTTAATGGAGGAATTGAGAAACATTTTAATTACAGATTTGGCTATCCTGCATGATTTATCCTGGGTAACTCGAGCAATTTATCCATCAGCAGTTATAAGGTATCTGAAGCAGAAAGAAAGCGCAGGGAGTATTTATCGCGGTGACTCAGAAGTCATTTAAGAGAGATTTGAAACGAAACGGTGATGTTGCTTAAAAAAACCCTACCTGGCATTAAGAAGTTGTCTCCAGCCAGGGAAATTAATGAGCAATATCATTTTGAAACTGCAGTTCCCCTTTTTTCCTGCGTTAGTCAAGCGGGGTGTGTTTCTCTTCGGGATGTGCAGCTGAAGCATGGCGTGGGGATGAGGGAATTGGGGTGACATTTCAATGTCATTTTATGATCATTACTCACAGTGGGTGAGACAAACCCCCTGGCAATGCTTTTGCAAGCAGGATCTGAGCCTCTGCGCTGCAGGCCTGGTGATAACATCATTTTCTTGGGGATGAGTGGAGAGAAGTTGGTGTTGCTTAATGAGCCTTAGAGAAGCATGTGCTGTCTCAGGTAAGGAGATGTTTCTTAAATATTGCCAGAGAAGTATTCAGTTCCCCTATTAATACAGTTCTAAACACTCCAGTGAAAAAGCACCTTGGTAAATAAATGGATGTCTTTGGATGAGCCATCTAGAGAAAAAGTGCCGACAGTGCAGTTCTTTTCCATGCCCAACACGGAAATGATTTTTCTCATCTTAGGTCTTGAAGTTGTGTATAAAAATTAAAAATTCAGGAGGAGACCCATCCCAAAGGGAGGATGTGATATTGCTTCCCACAGCATGGATAAAAGAATTCCACCGTGGGACTTGTCCTGCTCAAAGGTTTTCCAAGTAGCATGGATGGGGTGCATGCAACCGTTGGCCTTCCCCTTCTATCAGGGACTCAGTAAAGACCCCGAGCTCTTGGTAGCCAAGGGAAAGACAGACCACTGCTGCAAAAAGGAGATGTCCCCCAGTGTCCTTCATTCTCCAAGAAAATCTATAGTTGGAGGACTTTGCAGATGGAAATAGGTATTCCTTCAGAGCTATTAAATACAGATTATAGTGATGAATGTGGCACTCGCTGTGGCTCATGAGCTGAGAGGTGGTGGATGGGTTTTTTTTTTTGCTGCCTATTGATCTCTTTTTGCACCCAAATGAGAATAAAAGCTGTTCACCTCCCAGCAGGTTCAGGCTTTTAAGCCCAGTGGATCTCCCATTTCATCCCAGACGCCTGAATTTATTTCCCACCATCCTGTTCCCGGTGCTTCGACCTGACAGACTTTGGCTGGAGCTATGGCAAGGCATGAGAAACCCACCTTTGAGCAGAGAAACTTTGGGCTGTGTTAGCATGAGACGTGGGGCTCAGGCTGTACGTAGCTCCTTGGTTTTCTGGATGAGCTGCATCTCTCCCTTTGGAGCAGGAGCAAAGGGGTGTGGGGTATATGCACCATCCACACAGACCTGGTTCCTCATGGGGATGGTTTGCAGGAGGTTGGGTGAATCAAGCCCTAGGCCTTCAGTGCTGTGTCCTGCTGGCAGACTGGGCAGTGGGGCTGTGAGTAGCATGAGCACCATCTCCCCTCCTTCTGGATGCCTTCAGCTGCAGGAGACCTCTGGGAAACCCAGCCTACGTGGCTCTGCAGGGTAGAAGACACTGACCTAGCAGCGGGGATGAGCTGGGCTTGGAGATGATCCACTGCTTGCTGAATTAATAAAGAGGTCTTGAGACACCAGAGAGGTTTTTCTTGTTGTATCATTTATTCATCACTCATAAAAGTACCAGGGGCAAGTCTGGGACATGGATATCATCCCAGAAAAGGATGGCATGAATGTGTGTGGCATTATTCATGCTTCAGGGAGATAATACCTAATGCCTAATGCATGGGCCGGCAAAGGAAGGGGATCCCACCAGGAATTTGTGTGCACACCCATGGTCTTGCTGGGATCTTTGCTCATTCAGGTCATCACTGAGGTCTCCCCTACAAGCAAATAGTGCAGGTCCCCCCACCCCAAACCCATCCCACAGATCCTAGCAGACCAGGAGGAAGATGCTTCGGCCCATGAAACCCATTTCCCTGGGTACCCATGTAAAGCACCATTAGAAAGGCACCACAAATACTCTGTCTAAAAAACCCCTCCCAGCTTGTTCAGCTGCACTGTTGAAGAGCAGGTGTGTGCAGGGCATCACCCCCATGTCAAGGGGACCCCACACACCGGGCTCTGACACTGCAGCAAGCAACTTTGAGTGACCCCCAACCTCTTCATCCATCTTGGTGATGTAGAGCCATTAGTCATTGTACTGTACACATGAGCAGCTGTGC